TGGTGGAGAAGGACTGTATATCTAGAGAATATCATATCAGGAAATTGTTAGCAGTGTAGGTGTCTTAATGGAGTTGAGCAAATGAGTTTCTGCCCAAAACCCCAAGGAAAACCAGTTGTGTTGCTGGCTGGGAGAAATAACTAGCTGGAGTGCTCAGTAATATGTCTATTATCATTTTTCATTCATCTTTTAAAGTATGTTAGATAGAAATAGTCTACTTTATGTTGGATACTGCTAAATAATCTTACACAGGACAGCATCCACCATCCAACAAATAATTATCTGGCACCAAATATCAATAATGCTAGATTAAGAAATCCTGGTGTTGCCTAAACCGGTTTGGCTCAGTGGATAGAGCATCGGCCTGCAGACTGAAAGGTCCCAGGTTCGATTCCGGTCAATGGCATGTACCTTGGTTGCAGGCACATCCCCAGTAGGGGGTGTGCAAGAGGCAGCTGATTGATGATTCTCTCTCATCGATGTTTCTAACTCTCTATCCCTTTCTGTAAAAAATCAATAAAAAATTTAAAAAATTAAAAAAAAGAAATCCCAGTGTCATAAAATTAGAGCACTTGTACATTGGTGTTAACATTGAAATTGGTACCACCTATTCTTGTATTTTATATTTTGTCATTATTTATTATCATAAAATTATTATATTTGTAACAAAAATTCAAATAATTTGATTTAGAAGGTAGTAAATTCCTAAAATTCTAGCTCTCAGAAATAAACACTATTAAGGTTTTCATCTAGACTATTTCCATTAGGATATTAACATACATATAAATATATTAACCATTTTAAACAAAAAATATAGTACTAGACATACTTTCTGTAACTAATTTTTTCCACTTGGACATTGTATTATATTAATACCTCTATTATTCCATCATAGAGATATGCTACAGTTTATCTCTCCAATCCCTGTGGATTAATATTTGGTATTTTTGTAATATTATTATGGGTAGTACTACAGCAAACATATGTATGTATAAATCTCTGTTAATCCTTGAAACCATTTCTGTATGCTATATTTTAGAAGTAGAATTTCTAGGCCAATGGATATGATCACTTAAAAAATGAGGGAAATAGTCATATTTCCCTCCAAAAATACAGGTCTATTTGAAAGAGATTATTCAATATATAAAAAGAGGCATAGATATAGTAATACCTTATTTCTAGGAATGTAGCATGAGGAAATAGTCCAATTTTTTTTTAAAAGCACAAATATGTTTTCCCCCCACACTGTTATTAGTAAGAGCAAAAAGATTAGAAGCAATTTTTAAATATGTAATACTGGGGAAATGCTTTAAAATTTTATGTTATTCCCATTTGGACCAATTTGAAGTCTTAAAAACCAAGGTTAGAGGTACTATAATAATTCTTATGTCGTTGTCACTTAAAGAAGCATTGTGATTACAACTAAACATGAAATAGCATACATGTTACAAAAAAGAGAAAAGAAATACAAGTGGAAAAGATAGATCTGTCAGCATAGTGGACTGATTCCCCGCCCCCAATTGTGCATTATATTACTTTCAGAATGTTTTTAGAAAGTATTCATAACAATGTCACTTGCCTCAAGATAAAATGTTGATTGATGTAGAAAAGATGAGTTAGGATTTCATTTCAAAGGCCAGCATCTGACTGAAAAATAAGAAAATAAACCTCTCATTTATTCTCAGCCCATCATGCTTTTCATGTGTTCTCATACATTTTAGTGATTGAAGCATAAACTAGTGATTAATGTGAATCTTGAATGTACATGAACTAATCCAGGGAAGGCAGTCTCAGGAGGCATAGCATTAGATAGTTTGTTCTAGACAGCATTTTGAAAACTGTCATCAGGGAGAAAAAAGGTTTTTGTAGCAATATCCTTTATTTTCTCCAGCTAGCTGGCTATATTTTCATGTTATTATGTGGTCAGATCTCATTTATGGTGGTGGGGTCCCTTATGGGTAAAAAAAGCATGACATTAAAGGCCATTTTGTATTTATTGAAACAATATCAAATCTACTGATCTCAAAGTGATCTAGTCACTTTGAACATTTAAATGCAGATGTTTAAATTTTTCATTTGAGTTTGAGTCTCAGAAATTTCTTGGTAACATTACTAGAAATTGGTGTTAGAGCTATACTTCAATAAAATAGGTAAAATTAGGAAATTTTAGTTTGGTCTTTTTAAAAAACAAAAACAAAAAAAATCCCTAACTTTTCTTGTTAGCTTGAGCCACTACATGGTTAACCTTTTGATCTTACTTTGGCAATTCGAATCCAAAGTATAGCACTAACATCATTCTGGTGCCTTTTGAGTTCTCCCTTTGAAAATTTCATCTTTTAAGTTCTACACTAGGTAGTGTTTTTATTTATTTATCCATGTAATTATTTTTAGGTAATGTTTTTAAAATAAAAGTTGCTTCTGGAAGTAAGAACAATTTCTCCTTTGTAGCTCAATAGTGGCATACCAGCCAGCTGGAGACAACAGCCACACCTTTGATGTCACAGCCATGTTCAAATCGATTGGGATTTTCCTTGGGATCTTCAGTGGATCTTTTGCAATGGGTGCTGCTACTGGAGTGGTGACAGCTTTAATATCCTTTTATAATATTTATTCTTTCTTATTAATCCAACAATGTAATTGAATGCTGTGTTCTGTGGTCTCTCCTAGTTCTATAATCGGCACTGTGTCATTATTTTTAACTTATAACAAAGTACTTGGTTTGAAAACATTAGTTATTCATCTTTACCAATAAAGAAAACAATGCAATTGTTTTTTTTGTTTTTAAAAAAATATATTTTATTGATTTTTTTTTTACAGAGAGGAAGAGAGAGGGATAGAGAGTTAGAAACATCGATGAGAGAGAATCATCGATCAGCGGCTTCTTGCACACCCCCTACTGGAGATGTGCCCGCAACCAAGGTACATGCCCTTGACCGGAATCGAACCCGGGACCTCTCGGTCCGCAGGCTGATGCTCTATCCACTGAGCCAAACCGGTTTCGGCTGCAATTGTTTTATGTAGGATTACATGCCCTCAAACTTTCACTACAAAGGTTTAATTAGGCATAGTCACCCTTTGGGGTGAATTTTAAGGTTGTAGACCAAATTGATATAAAGTTACATATATTTCAAAGAGTCTCTGAGTCTTCTGTTTTGCTGTTCAGCCTGGCAGTCTTTTGCTGTTTATTTAAAAGGAAAAATAGCTGAAACTGGTTTGGCTCAGTGGTAGAGCGTTGGTCTGCGGACTGAAAGATCCCAGGTTCGATTCCGGTCGGGGGCATGTACATTGGTTGCGGGCACATCCCCAGTGGGGGGTGTGCAGGAGGCAGCTGGTCGATGTTTCTCTCTCATCGACGTTTCTAGCTCTCTATCCCTCTCCCTTCCTCTCTGTAAAAAATCAATAAAATATATTTAATAAATAAATAAATAAATAAATAAAAGGAAAAATAAGAAACCTATGACCATTATGCCAACTGAACTAGATAGGGTTCCTGGACTAAGATAGATGGGAGTTCATCTCAGTTTTCACCAATTTTAACCTTCTACCACAGAGTCCTAGACACTGCCACTAGTTTGTAATTTGTAATATTGGGCAAGTCATTCCTGTATTCATTCAGAAAACATTTTTTATTGCCCACTGTATGCCAGGTGCTATGCTCCTGGGTATCAAAAATGAACAAGACAGACATGGCCTCTGCCTTCTTGGAGCTTTTGGTATAGAAGCATTGACACTTCACCTCATGGGTCCTCTGTGTAGGAAGGTGGAGGGTGAGAGCAGCAGGGAAAATCATTCAGACTAGATGACCTGTAAAGAGCTCCCAGCTCTAAAACTTCTAAGACATTTTGTTATGAAACTAATACTGCTTTCAAGATTCTATAAATTTGCTATACTTCAGCTAAGTACTGAAAGGGACTTATCTTATGGCTTTTTACAGGTGAATTGAGGCACAAAGGGGCAGTAAAAAGAATTCTTTAAAGGAGCTAGGCCCAATAGTATCTCTTCCCCATTACAGTTCCTTGAGGGTAGGAAGTATATCTTATTAATCTTTTTATTGTAGTACAGGTTTATTGAAGTGAATGTAGATTTCAGCCTGAGGTTTATCACAGCTTCACATAGGCCCTTCCATTGTAAACCAGCAAATACTTTTTAGACTAGTGTTAAGTGAGTGACGTGCTTCAGTTTCTTCATCATGGAATGCTCTGCATCACAGAGGTGTTAGGGCATCAGATAAATGGAAAATCTCATGGAAATGACATTTTAAATAAATATAAATTTCCATAAATATGGAAGCTCTTTTGCTTTGGATCACAGATTAATAATTAGAGTTGGCATGTTGTGTATCTTATCTGTTGCTCCCATCTCTACCTGTCCTTTACTGTGTGATTTCTGGCAAGGCATGTGATACCCATAAAACAATCAGAAAGACTAAGTTGTTAGACTTCTTCATAAAAGGGATGGCTGCTCACTTAGTAAGATGCTCATTTTAAGAGTTACTTCACTCTGGTGCCTTTTTATTCTGTGGCTTTTGTGTTAGGCAGTAAAGCCTTCTTTTACTTTCTATATATATATATATATATATATATATATATATATATATATATATATATATTTTTTTTTTTTTTTAACATTTAAAAAAAATATATTTTACTGATTTTTCACAGAGAGAAAGAGAGAGGGATAGAGAGTTAGAAACATCAATGAGAGAGAATCATTTATCAGCTGCCTCTTGCATACCTCCTCCTGGGGTTGTACCCGCAACCAAGGTACATGCTCTTGACCGGAATCGAACCTGGGACCTTTCAGTCCGCAGGCCGACACTCTATCCACTGAGCCAAACCGGTTTCGGCCCTTCTTTTACTTTCATGGTTGCCTTGCTTTGACTATTATTTTTTCTAGTTGCACTTCTGTATTAAGATTTTTACTAACCTTAACAGTCTTACGTGACAAAGTTCACCAAATTACGGGAGTTCCAGTTGTTGGAGACAGGCTTGTTCTTCTTGATGTCCTGGAGTACCTTCCTCTTGGCTGAAGCATGGGGTTTCACGGGTAGGTTACTTTCTCCTTTTGATTGTAAACCCTTACAGAGAGTGACTCTGCTAGTCATTTTTTTTCTACTAGTAGACCAACTCCTCTAGTATTTGGACATACTTATTAGGGTTGGGATTTATGCTGTCACTTTAGAATGTAAAAAAGATTTTCAATGCAAATGGTATGTCTCAACAAATAAGTCATAACTAAAAATGTCAACACTCAGCATATAATCTACTTCTGTAAAATAAAAGCCTCGGTAGAAAAGTCGGGAACTCTCCTATCACATGAACTTTGAACACTTTTCATTGCAGGAGTGGTTGCAGTGTTGTTCTGTGGCATCACGCAGGCCCATTATACATACAATAATTTGTCCACAGAGTCTCAGCATAGAACTAAACAGGTAAGATAAACTTTATAGTTTGTGAATCAAGTTTTTCTCCCTGAAGTGAAACAAATTTGTTCAAAATGATGCCTACTCATTCTGGCTCCTCTTCTCTTATTTTTTAAAATCTTTATTGTTGAGAGTATTACAAATATCTTCCCCTTTTTCCCTCCTTGCCCCCCACCACCCAGTTCCCACCCCGCCCCAGGCCTTCACCACCTGGCTCCTCTTTCTTTGACTCCAGAAATAGATGGAATTGGCAGGTTGAAGGGTGACAGTTTTTAGGAATAAGGTAGGTGACAAGAATAGTCAGGGACTATTGTGATTGTGTCAGTTAGCTTCCTTCCCTGTTTTCTTAACCTAATGACTTTTAAGAGGAATGTTTTTCTAGTCAGGTCTGACTAGAACCATGGCTGTTTGACGTTGGTAAGTTTAATTTCTGATTTGACTGGATCTATTGCTAGGTGATGCAGAGAAGATTAACATCCTTTAGGCACTTCCAGAAATGTGAAAACATCAGGGATTGGGTTTCATATGGCCTTGAATGAACGTTTGTGTAGGGCACCTGAAGCATTTGCTAGTCTTATGAGGTATATGGTACAAAGATATGAACAATATGTAATGTCTAGAATAGAAACAGATGCAGAATTTATTATGATTACATCAAGGAATAGAAGATTTAAGTTTTACCAAATGATTAGAACACTTGAGATTAGCCTGAGAGAACTCATGACAAAGCAGGACGTCATGAGTTCTGCATAAAAGGTACGTCTTTTTTCTGGAACCACAAATTTAGTGATTGACATATGCTTTTTTCCCACTCCTTCAAAAGAAATTAGGCTTCCTATACACTGGGGCTACAAATCCCTTTTACAGATTAGCTCAGTGCAATAAGTATGGAGATGATAATCAACTGGGGTGGTGGTGGCATTTTTCTAGACAGTGGGGTAGGGAATAAAAAAAAAAAAGGTCACAGTGTCCATTGGTGATATGAACCTTGTGTACATAAATACAACACATGGATTATAGGGTGGTGAAGGCCTGGGGTGGGGCAGGGGTGGACTAGAAGAGGTCAGTAGGGAAAAAGGAGGACATATGCAATACTTAAAACAATAAAGATTTAAAAAACAGATTAGTAGAACTTCTAGCTTTGTATTTCAGATTATATGTCATACCAGATTTCAGAGAAGGGGCAGGGGTTGGCTTGAGGCTTGAAGAGCTACAAAGCTACCCTAGAAGGAGGGTACAGAGCACAAGACAATGATGCACTGACTCCGTAAATTAAGGACAAGACCTAGGTAAAAAGTGAAATCACACGGCAGGGCAGCAATATGAGAGTTGTCATAGTGCTCTATGCCAGGACAAAAAAATTGGAACTTGGGTCGTTACAGCCTGTGAAAGGGAAGTGTCTATGAAACTGCCATATTTAGAGAGATTCATTGGGTAGGGGTGTAGAGATGGATGACAGGGATACCAATTAGGGTCCTTTTGCAGCATTATGGGTGGGAAGTGATGAAAGGTAAACAAAGGTAGTGGCAGGACAACAAAGAACATTCCATAAGAAAACTTGTCAGGGTTTGGAAGAAGGGGATAAGAATGACTACATAGGGGATTAGAGAAGGGAAGCTGACTGGGGAAAGTGAGAGGTAACTTTTCTTTTTTTCTCTGTGGGACTGCTAATGTCATTACTACATTTGCTTGCCTCTGAATCATATTTTGGGGGATATACATGAACATTACATATTTGAAATGTCTGTTTTGTTGTCTTAGTAGTAATACTCATGTTTTCACATTATGTAACTTAATTTATTTTCTGGACTAACCTTTTAACATTTCGTTTCAGTTGTTTGAGCTTCTCAATTTCTTGGCAGAGAATTTCATCTTCTCCTACATGGGACTGACACTGTTCACCTTCCAGAATCATGTCTTTAACCCAACATTTGTAGTAGGAGCATTTGTATCCTTTATAATTTGTTCTATTTTTAAACATTTTTAAAAAATTGAAATTCGCATGTGTTTCCTAGAGGGCTAGTTGACAAGAATACATTTAAATATATAGTGTTCCTCTCAGTACAAGAAGTAAGGAGTTTAATTCTTTTATCTGCTCTGTTTATTCTATTCTATCTTCATCTGTTAATTGCACAAATAATACTGATACATTGAAATGACAGAAAAAAAGTTTCCTACCATTCTGCCAATCCCAAAAGAGAAAACTATAACATGTTTGTCCTCTATTGCTAAAGCGAAGAAAGAGAGAGTAGATACTGGAGAGCAGGGCAGTCTATGCCACAGGGTCATTGAAAGCTGGTGAAAGGTAGGAGGCTGCCTGCCCTCTGCCTCATTCTCTCTTACTTGTTGAGTCTTTAAAATCCAGTTGAAAGAGAGAAGCTGAGTACATGAAAAGGAGCAATCAGTATTTCCAGCCTCATGAGAAGGCAGGAAGAGATGAAATCCAGAGCATGTAGGGAAGTAATGGCCTTCACTGGGAGGAGGAATAACTCCACCATGGCTCCACGAGAGGGTAGGTTATAAAGAGATGAAGGCACATTTGCAAGATGGTGTTCCTGACTGCTGACCTCTATTTTAATTTATTAAATATGAGGTGATATAATCTGCTGGAGGTGAGATTATCTGCTGAAAGTGAGATAGGAGCAGGTGGCCTATCAGTTATCTATTATATAACAAATTACCCTAAAATTTAGCAACTTACAATAACAATCATGTATTATATCATAGTTTCTGAGAATTAGGATACTAGAAGTCGCTTAGCTGGGCTCTTCAAGCTCAAGCAGCCCTCGTGAGGTTGCAGTCACTCTCTGGGCTGGGACTGTACTCTGCAGAGTTGATGGGCTGGAGAATCTACCCCAGGTTTACTCACATGGCTGTTAGCTAGAGGCTTCAGTTCTGTTCTACATAGATCTCTCCATGGGGCAGCTCATAACGTTGCTTCCCCCAGAGGGAGTAAGCTGAAAGAGCCCCAGGATGGAATCCAGGATGGAATCCAGAGTGCCTTTTATAACCTAACCTTTGGAGTGGTATACCATCATCCCTTCTGCCACATTCTGTTGGTCGCACAGGTGAATCCTGGTGCAGTGTGAGCAGGGACTTCACAAGGCTGTGAATACTTGCAGGGAGGGATTTTTGGGGACTATCTTAGAAGCTAGTTTCCACGGGTGACAGGAGTTTTGTGGAGAAGATTTAGAAATAGTTTTTTTTTTAGAGAATGGGACAGTGAGTTGAACAAATAAATGATGTAGGATTGCTGAGCAGTAATAGGGACCCACTTGAGTCTGAGAAATAGATATTAGCAGTAGAATCAGTCTGCCCTATTGTATGACTTCAACCTGGAGTACTTAGCTGTAAGCTTGGAGGAAAGAGATAGTTGATTCCATCTATAATAGTTTGGGGTTTTGTCAAGTGGATGCAAAGAAAAGTGGGCTCTTCAGGATCAAGGCAAAGAAAGCACAGAAAGAGACAAATGAGCCGAGGCTGGTTTGGCTCAATGGATAGAGCGTCGGCTTAGGGACTGAAGGGACCCGGGTTTGATTCCGGTCAAGGGCATGTACCTTGGTTGCGGGCATATCCCCAGTAGGAGGTGTGCAAGAGGCAGCTGATCGATGACTCTCTCTCATCGATGTTTCTAGCTCTCTATCTTTCTCCCTTCCTCTCTGTACAAAATCAATAAAATATATTTTAAAAAAAAAGAAAAGAAAGAGACAAATGAATGTCAGGTGTTTCAGAATATTATTAAGATGTGGTGAAGCCCGGCCACTGTGGCTTGGTTGAGCATTGACCCATGAACCAGGAAGTCATGGTTCAATTCTTGGTCAAGCACATGCCTGTGTTGTGGGCTTGATTTCCAGTGGGTTTCATGCAGGAGGCAGCTGATCAGTGATTCTCTCTCATCACTGATGTTGCTATCTCTCACTCTCTGAAATCAATAAATATATTTTAAAATAATTTTATTGACTTTTTAAAGAGAGGAAGAGAGAGGGATAGAGAGTTAGAAACATCGATGAGAGAGAATCATTGACCAACTGCCTCTTGTACACCCCCTACTGGGGATGTGCCCGCAACCAAGGTACATGCCCTTGACCGGAATTGAACCTGGGACCCTTCAGTCCACAGGCCGACGCTCTATCCACTGAGCCAAACCGGTTTCGGCAATAAAAATCTTTTTAAAAAGATGTGGTTAAGAAGGGAAGTGAAGCAGGGAAAGGACTGACTGTTAGGGGGAAGTAGCAGAATCTTTGGACTGGAGGTCCCAGACAGGGGAAAGAACTATCCAAGTGAGATAGATAAACATGAAACGTGAAAAGAAATTGTGGTCAGAGAGGATGTTTGAATTAGTGATTTTAAAAAGTAATATTTTTAAAACCACCTCAGAATACAGATTCTGCCAGAGATTAGCAGAAATATTTTTTAATTTAAAGCTCTAAGTAGAATCTCTGTTAGAAAGTGAGGTATTAGTGAATGCCATTCTACAGAGTCTTCGTCTTCTGGTAATGAACTTCAGGCAAAAAAGATAAAGCCCTATTAATAAGAGAAGAACCTGCCGAAACCGGTTTGGCTCAGTGGCTAGAGCGTGGCCTGTGGACGGAAAGGTTCCAGGTTTGATTCCGGTCAAGGGCATGTACCTTAGTTGCAGGCACATCCCCAGTAGGGGTGTGCAGGAGGCAGCTGATGGATGATTCTCTCTCATCGATGTTTCTAACTCTCTACCCCTCTCTCTTCCTCTCTGTAAAAAAATCAATAAAATACATTTAAAAAAAAATAAGAGAAGAACCTTAGCGGGAAGACTCCCATGAGGTCGGTAACTCCATATCCTGCTAGTGTTTGAGAAATTGTTCAGCAGTCACGTTCCTTGATCCACTGTACTTAACCGGAAGTAAGACTAATTATTTTCCCTAGGTTTCTGAGTCTGTTAGGAATTGAAGTTTCTGGATACAAAATCCTACCGTGAAAATTGACCCCTACAAGGGAGAGATGTTCTCTTGCTGGCTATGTAAGTTAGGATCTAGATTTGGTTTCATGTGACAAAGACCCAAATTAACTGGGGTTTAAGCAAGATAGAAGTTTACCAATGAGCATATAATGCTTATGTACAGTTCCATTTTGCCTTTAGTCTTACAGATGCTGATGATTTCCAATAGTACTTAGGTCAGCACTTGTATCCCCATCCTTGTTTTATTTTTAATCTTAGATTTTCCTTTATATATCTTTCGGAAAATGGGGTGGAGATTATATTGTAACCCCTGAGATAAAAACTTTAATTGTAAAGCAGAGCCTCTATAGACAGCAAACTGGAAGAAAAGACAGTAAAATTGTGTGGGGGGTTTTGTTGTTAAAACCATTCTGAGTTACCATTAAGCCTTCCCTTTGAAGCAGGGTGGAAGTTATAAACTTATCTGCTAGCATCAGAGCTAGCAGAAATTTCAGTGGTATGAGGTGTTTGAGCTTCCCTTTTCTTTGTTCCGAGGAAGCAAGGGCAAGTTTAGCCAGTATTACTCTTCCTCCTACTAACACTGACAATTAAAGTGAATTAACCTATTGTAGTAATAATTTTAAGATTATACCCAAGAATCTCTGCTTTTAAACATGTTTTTGTTCATCTCATGAATTTCCTATATGTTAGATCTGCACTGTCCAATTTAGTAGCAACTAACCACTTGTGATTATTTAAATTTAAATTAATTTAAATGAAATAAAATTTTAGTTCCTAGGTCACACTAGCCACATTTCAAGCACTCAGTATGTTGGACAATACAGATATAGAACATATGATCATTGTACAAAGTTCCATTGGACTGCTCTGTGTTAGAGAAATAGAAAGACTGTTAGAAACTCTTCTTGAATATAGAGTCTAAGTAATATTAATATAGTAAAAAGAAATTACCCTTAACCTATTAATAATTTTAGGTTGCTATTTTCTTGGGGAGAGCTGCTAATATTTACCCCTTGTCCCTCTTACTTAATTTGGGTAGAAGAAGTAAGATTGGATCAAATTTTCAACACATGATGATGTTTGCTGGTAAGTTATAACTCCCTCTCTTTTCCCACTCCAAGAAACCACTTACAATGTATATGCTAGCTTGATTTTAAATGGAAATGATATGCTGGTAAGATATTACTCCCTTGAATATTGAAGGTGCAACCTCCAAAAATTTTTTTAGTATCTGTATTCCCTTCTATGGGAAAATTTTCATGTTCTGGTTCCAAATTCCCATATGTCGCACATAGTAGAGAAGATAAAGAATTATGCTCTTTCACACAAAATTCTCTGAATGCTTATAGCAATTCTATTAATAATTTCCCAAACCTAGGAACAGCCCATTTCTGTTCCAATGGGTGAATGAATAAGCAAACTGGTACATCCATGCCATGGAATACTACTTAGCACTAAAAAGAACAAACTGTTGATACACACAACAACATGGATGAACCTCAGAGACATTATGCCAAGTGAAAGAAGCTAGTTTCAAAAAGTCATATACTCTATGATTTCATTTATATGACATTCTGAAAAAAGACAAAAGCATAGCAACGGAGAACAGATGAGTGGTTGGCAGGGTATTGACACAGTGACAGAGATTGGATTAGAAAGAAGTTGAACAAAAGAATTTGGAGGTGGATGGGTAGTGAAACTGTTCTGTGTCTTGGTTCTGTTAGTGGTCACACACCTCTATGCATTTGTCAAAACTTAGGGAACTATACACCCAAAAGAGTAAATTTTACTGTATGTAAATTTAAAAATAAATTTCAAAAAATTGTAAAAAGATCAATGTATGTCAGTATCATCTACTAATTCTTTTTTCCATTTATTTATACTTATGTACGTTGATATGTACTTGTTCACACCCCTCTTAAGTTCTCAGAATACCTTATTTCTCTGAATTTATGAGGCTCACATTGGTAATAAGTTATTGAAGAAATACTGTTCCATTTCTTTTTAGGCCTTCGTGGTGCAATGGCATTTGCCTTGGCCATTCGAGATACTGCCACTTATGCACGACAAATGATGTTTAGCACCACACTTCTGATTGTGTTTTTTACCGTATGGGTATTTGGTGGTGGCACCACTGCCATGCTGTCATGCTTGCATATAAGGTAAGTCGTGACTGAGGACCTCATTTCCATATTAAATTATAATTCAGGTTATTTTCTTTTAATCATGATAAAAATTTAAGCTTTGATAAGTCTATAATATTTAATTTTTTTCCTTTTAAAAGCTAAACAACATGTAGTACAGAAAAATGAAAGATATGCAAAAGAAAAATAACCATTGTTAACACTTTAAAGGATGTCTTTCCAGACCTCTTGCTATGCATTCTATATATTTTTAACAAAAGGGGCCAATACTACAGGTACTCCTGTAAACTTATTTTTAAATGTAACATAGCATGGGCATTTATGTTATTAGTAAATAACATTATTTTAATGGCTGTATATATTTTTGTTTATTTATTTATTGTATTATAATTTATTTAACCAAATCTCTACCTTGTATTGTTTCTAGGATTTTGCTATTACCATTAACATTTGAGGCTTTTGCTATTACTATTACCAATAACAACGTAGACATTTGTAAATGTATACACCATTGTGTATTTGTTTGATTATTTCCTTATGATGCATTCCTAGATGTAGAATATTTATATATTTAAGGCTTTTGATCCACATTACCAGATTGGATCAAAATTTTTCTCCTGCACCCTGTGATACAGTCCTGTTTATCTCAACCCTAATTAATATGAGATATTATCATTATTTCTTATCTTTATGATCAGCATAGTTTCTGACCTGACAATTCAAGGTTGAGATTGTGAGGTCTCGGTCTTAGATGCACACTCATTAATGTATTCAATTGGAAAGCTCTCTTGTATCTCAAGAGTTCTGCATTGTTTCCATGGATACAGCAGCCTATGTTGCTAAAGCCTTTGTAGATTTTAGTCCTGTGTTTGGCTGAAACTTCATAGGCCTTAAGAGCTATTGAGCCTGACCAGCATAGCTCAGTGGTTGAGTGTTGACCTATGAACCAAAAGGTCATGTTTCGATTCCTGGTCAGGGTATATGTCCAGGTTGCAGGCTCGATCCCCGGTGTGGGGTGTGTAGGAGGCAAGCGATCAATGATTCTCATCTTTAATGTTTCTATCTCTCTCTCATTCTCCCTTCCTCTCTCTAAAATCAATAAAATATTTTTTTTGTAAAGAGCTACTGAGCTTCCAGAATACTTAGGGTTCATTAGAGAAAATTGTATTTCACATTTTATAGAATCTGTTTTCCATTTTTTCATTCTAAAGACCAGCCAGGCTTAAATCACACTTTTAATGTGATTATTATCTTTATCTTGCTTTACTATTCAAATACATTTCTTGCAGTTTCTGTGCTGCTGTATATAATAAAGAATACATAAAAATAATGTTTGTATAACCCTGATTATTACCTCAGGGAGTACTGGACAATTTTTGAGCACCTACTATGTTCTGGGTATTTACAAAGTGCATTTTACAAATTTATCTAATCACAGAGCTCCATTTTACAAATAAGGAAATAGAGGCTTAAAAATTTCCAAGTTGTTCAGTGTCATACAGTCAATTAAATGGTGGGTAAAGGAACCTCATCAAGAAATTAGAGTGGTCAATTTTGAAAAGTTTAAATATCTTCCTTTTCTCAAGAGCTTGTAAATGAAGACTCCTTATTCTAAAAAAAAATTAAATGTAAGAATTTTGGAAAAATAATACTCTTAAATGGATTCTTAATGTTTAAGTGAAATCAGTTCTCTTCCCTAACTTCCCTTCATACAAACCAAACAAAATATCCATGTTTTACCCACACACACACACAAAAAAAATCCCCTACAAACCTCCCATACTCACATAAAATTGAATACCCCTCACCAGCTTTGCAAACTCTTTGGCCCTATCTTGCTTGTCCTATTAGCATAGTTTGTTTTTTTAATTATATCGATATATACTAGTGGCCTGATGTACAAAATTCATGCAAGAGGCTTGGTCCCTGCTGCTGCAGTGGCTGCCTCAGCCCCTGCCACCGTAGCTTCATCCAGAAGGTGGTCCGAAAGGACATCCAGTCTAATTAGCATATTGCACTTTTATTATTATAGGTTATACATATATAAATCTATCCCCGGAATTCTTCCATTCTAGATTATATATAATCTAACCCCACACCGGGGATAGATTACCTTATAGTTTTAGGTAAACTCTTGTTATTCTTTTTTTGGGGATTTTTTGGCCTCTGTAAAGAGAGACTGGAATTTAAGTTTCACTTCCCAATTCTGAAATTTGGCTAGTATAATCTTGAGGAGGCTGATAACAAGTCCTTAAAGTTTAAGATTAATGCAGACTTAGACTTGACTATGAGTTCTTGCTCGTTAATTTTGAGTTCTTGTTCTTTCCTTTAACACTTCTGTGATCTTGAGCCTCAATTTACGCTTTTAAGCCTCAATTACCACATTTGTAATGTGTGTGCTAGTACCTGTCTCCTAGGGTTGTTGTAAGTAGTCAGTGAGCTAATGTCTGTAAAACTCTCAGCACAGCACTGCGAATGTGCCTTTTAGCCATTCATTCAGTAAATTGAGCACCCCATGTGCCAGGCACTGTTTTAAGTTCTAACTTAATGGTTCTCATTTGAGGGTGATTTTGCCCCCACTGCAAGGGACATTTGGCAATGTCTGGAGACATTTTATTATCACAATCTAAGATAGGAGGCTGCTATTGGCATCTGATTAGTAAAGACCCAGGGTCCTGCTAAACACCATACAGTGCACAGATCTGTGCCAAAATGTCAGTAATGTGAAGATTGAGACCCTAGAGAGGTACAGTAGTAGTAATAAGATAGAAAAAGTCCCTGGTCTCATAAAGTCTGTATTTTAGTGGGAGAACACAGACAGTACACTAGCATTCAAAAGAAAATGGCAATTTTAGGTGATATTAAATGTTTTGATGACAAACAAGGTACTGTGATGGTGACTAGGGATCAAACGTATTTTATAGGTGGAGATCAGGAAAAGTCAGAGTCAGTCTCTCTCTCTCTCTCTCTCTCTCTCTCTCTCTCTCTCTCTCTCTCTCTCTCTCTCTCTCTCCCCCCTACATTTAACATCAGTCTGGATAAGGTATTGCCAGTTAAACAGTGAGCACGAAGAAGAGCAGCCCAGGCAGAGAGAAAAGTATATGCAAAGGCCCTGAGGCAGGAAAAAACGACTTCTTTAATGAACAGGAAAAAACCCCCACATAGCTGGAATATAGTGATTAAAGTGTAGATAGGAAATAAGGTGGGCAAAATCCTATAGGGGCAGTGATTGGCAAACACATCCTGTAAAGGGGTGGATAGTAAAATTTTAGGCTTTGCAGACCATATGGTCTCTGTCTCAATTACTAAATTCTAGCATAAAAGCCCCACAGATGTGCCCTTAGCTGGTTTGTCTCAGTGGATAGAGTGTCGACCTGCAGACTGAAGGGTCCCAGGTTCGATTCTGGTCAAGGGCACATGCCTGGGTTGCAGCTTGATCCCCAGTGGGGAGCCTGCAGGAGGCAGCCAATCAATGATTCTCCCTTCCTCTCTGAAATCAATATATATATATATATATATTGATATATATATATATATTGATATATTGATATATTGATATATATTGACATATAACATATATATATATATGTTATAATAAAAATAAAAAAGCCCCACAGGCCCTAACTGGTTTGGCTCAGTGGATAGAGCACCAGCCTGCGGACCCAAGGGTCCCAGGTTCAATTCCAGTCAAGGGCATGTACCTTGGTTGCAGGCACATCCCCAGTAGGGGGTGTGCAGGAGGCAGCTGATTGATGTCACTCTGTCATCAATGTTTCTAACTCTCTCTCTTCCTTCCTCTCTGTAAAAAAATCAATAAAATATATATATTTTTAAAAAGCCCCACAGATGATACACAAGTCAATTGGTGTGGTTGTGTTCCAACAAGACTTTATTCACAAAAATGTGGCCTGTGGGCCTTAGTTTGTGGACCCCTGCTTTCGGGTCTCATAAGATATGGTAATGAATTTGGATTTTAAAGTCCAATTGGAAATCTTGTAAGATTTTAAAGTAAAGGGGTGACATGATTATTTTTGTAGGGTAAAAGCATCACTCTAGCTGTTTTATAGACAACAGATCCTCAGTGCGTTAAGAGCCAACCAGCTAGCTATTCCTACATATTTTTATAGTTTGTGATGGTTACATTTGGCTCCTTGTCATTTACCACACATATTTTACAATTCTCTGTCTCTGAGCATTTGCTGCTATTGTTTCTTAGCCTTGAATTTTCTTTCACTCCCAAGAAATGACATAGCTCAAGTGCCTTCTCCTTTCTGCCGTCTTCTTTTATATTGGAACCATTCTTCCATTTGCTTAACGTATTTAGGTATCGTTATGACAGCACTTATTTTGATCAGCCTTGTAATAACAATCCTATATAATAAAGCCCTAATATACAAATTGACCAAACAGTGGAACTACTGGTCGCTATGATGTGTACTGACCACCAGGGGGCAGACACTCAACACAGGAGCTGCCCCCTGGTGGTCATTGTGCTCCCACAGGGGGAGCGCTGCTCAGAAGCCATGCTCATGGCTGGCAAACACAGTGGTGGTGGTGGGTGCCTCTTCCCTCTCTGCAGCAGTGCTAAGGAACAGTGAGCTGAGCCATCAAGAGCAGTGAGCAGGAGGGCCATAAGGAGCAAGGGCTCCTGGACTGTGAGAGGGATGTCTGATTACAGTGGGAATCAGGCCTAAGCCGACAGGTGGACATCCCTCAAGGGGTCCCAGACTGAGAGAGGGTGCAGGCCGGGCTAAGGGACACACACACACACACACACACACACACACACACACACACACACCCAAGGGACACACACACCCCGCCAGTGCACAAATTTCATGCACTGGACCTCTAGTATTTTTATAAGAGCTACCACTTCATGTTAATGATGTACCAGATACTCTTTTAACATCTCAAGTTGCATTTTTCTCATTTAATTCTTGCAGCAACTCTGTGTGGTGAATATTATCCCTATTTTTCAAGTGATAAAATCATGGTTCATTGGGCTACGTAATTTGACTAAGTTCATTCACACAGCTGGAAAGGAGCTGAGATCAGCTTAGAATCCAGCTCTCCCTGATTGCAGAGTCTTTGGGGATTATGCTCCAGTTGTGTCTGTTTTCTCCACTCTTCCCTGAGCTCCTTGACAGCAGGGGCCAAGTCTAATTCTCATCTATGTTCTGTGCCTAGCACAATGTTGTTTATTACATTGAATTGGTGCTCGCTCGCTCTCAGACCACTAGGTGTCACTTTAGATGCACAAATGTGGTTAGAGATTAATGTGCTAAGAAGCTATTGAGCAGCTTCTGGCCATTTTAACAAAGAAGAAATGAGTCTTTCTTGGAATTATGAATCCGGTCATATCCGGATTCATAATTTATAACTGTTTTCAAGTACTTAACCATGATTCACTTGCCTTTCAGATGAGGTCTTGCATCATTTCCCTCCCTTTGGTATTATTTGTATTCTGAATTGCTACTGCTACAGATTCTCACACTGCTGTTTTTCTGTGTTGTCTGAAGTAGTGACCTTAATTGCTAAACATTTGAGCACCTATTGTATGTCAGGTACTGTGTTAGACTCGGGGGCTACAGAGATGAATTGAGACATGACCTTTACCTCAAGGAGCTCAGTCTGTTTGGGGAGACTGATAGGTAAATAACTATACTGTGTTAAGTGTTATAGAAGATTCTAGAAAGTGTTGTTAAAGCATAAATGAAAACCGATTCTTCTTGGAGGGGGTCAGAGAATGGTTCATTTGGAACTCGTAAAGGAATAAAAAAAAATGCAGGACAGTGCATTTCAGATAGAGGGAACACCATGAGCAGAGGCATGGAGGCTCGGGAGAGGACAGGGATTTTGGAGAGGAGTAGTCAGGTGTGGCTAATGGAGAGTATGTAGAATAGAATGAGGGGAAAGGCAGGTTGGAGCAGTGGGGTGCTAATTTGTAGAGAATTTTGAATGCCACACAACAGACTTTAGACTTCACCCTCTGAGTTGTAAGCCGCTCTCAGAGTGTTTTGTCAAAGGACTAACCCACTGAGGTCTATGCCCTAAATAGCAAAATCTAGGGGAGAGCTTGGCAGCTAGAAAATCTTACATCCAGTTGCTACAGACCCCATGAGTCAGAATTAGGCCAGAGCGTGAGAAGTTGAAATGGAAAGAGAAGATGTGAGAGACAGCTTAGAAAGAATGAACAGAGTTGCTGAGTGCTGCTGGTGTCGAGGAGATAGAGAAGAGTCAAAGAGAACTTCTTCATAATGAAGTTGTTCCCTGGGAAAAGAAAAGCAGGAATCTGAGCAGATGAAAAAGAATTATGAAGAACCAAGGCTAATGTGTATCCATTAGCCTATGAAAAAAAAACAACTGTAATTGGACCCTCTCTTCGGTCATCACAACAGAATGTTACCATGAGAGCTGAGAGGTCCAAAAACATGAAACTCCCTGCTGGAACTGCATTGTGCCAGCCTTGTATTTGGAACTACCCAGTAAGTAGTTCTTATTCAGTAACTGGGACAATGCTGCTTTCTCTGACTCCGCTTATAATGAACTTGTATTCAGAGAAGCAAATGTTATTTTTCTGAAAATGGTAAGTTGGATTGTAGGAAGAGAATCATTAGTAGACCCTGCTTGTCTGAGGATCTGAGCTGTTGCTAAGCAAAGTGGCAGGAGCCAAAAATTTATATCAACAGCCAGAGAAAGCAAGAAAACATTAACCATTCCATAGCTTCTGCATTGAAATAAAGTAGTTCCCTGACAATATACATATGTGAATAGACTTTTTTTTTTGGCTTCAAGATCTCATTTGCCTTTTGTTTTTCTCCTTTAGGGTTGGTGTTGATTCAGACCAAGAACATTTGGTAAATATGCATTTGTGTTGTCCCTGGCATTTCTGTCAAATGTACAGTTATTTGGAAAGAAAACAATCTGCTGTAGACTTCGTGCCACCATTATTTAGATCCTGTCCCATTTGCATCAGCCTTTAACTGGCATCTTTCCTGGCCTTTCCTCACTCTGTGATAGAAACAAAACTGAATTTTAGACAGTGTATGGTTATCAGGGGTGACAGCTTTCATATCTGTGGGCCAACCTGGGCTTTGGCTGCAGAGAAGAGCCGTCCCATAAGCACTCCTGAGTTTTCAAGTGACTGCTCTGGCACAGGGAGCCTTTTTCCACTTGGGTTTGCGCATGATGGCTTTTCTCTGATGTAAGCCCCACTCCAGCTGCTCTTCCTGTGTAACTTTCAAATTGGATGACCAGCAGCTGCCCTTGAGAACTGCCGAGAAGCTTTGGAGTCTTCCTTGCCTGATCAGGAGAATGCAGTTTCTTACTCTGTGCCTTAGCCTTGCCCACATTTTCTTGCCCGCTTCCGTGTGTTACTTTCTCAGTTGTTCCCTTGTACCTGAACCCGATACACTGAGTACAGTGTAATTTTGTGCCTTCTGTAGACTGACCACTCTTTCTTGGTATTTTCCATCAACCTTTTAATGGATTCTGAGCACCACTCAATATGTGACTCTGCCCTAGACTTTAGATTAGATGGGAAATCGCAGAAATATTTTTAAAGCTGGAAATCATCTCTTTCAAAACACAGTTCTTTTTCTTGTCTGAAACAAGCCCTGGGCTATTTGTCTTCAGGGTGTGGTTCAAAAAATCATTAGATTCATTTCCTAAATGCTAATTTTGTTAGCTGTTGAGTGATGAGTGTGTATGTGATATAATAAGTACTTGCTTCTTTTTTGGTAAGAACCTTGAAGTATAATTCCATGGGCTTGAAATATCTGAGCAAACTAGGCTGGATAAATTCCCACGATGCTCAGCTGCTGGGGTAGTTACCAAGGGGATAATAGTTCCTTAATCTTATGTCTAAAAACAAGTAAATTCATCATACAGATTACCAGACAAATGCTTGATCATTACCTCTTAGTCTTCACCTGCTTTGTCACCTCTGTCATCACAGAGGAGAAATGGAAATGGAATTACAGGGAGAGAGCCAGGTTGGTGAATACCACCTGTGACATACAGAAAAAAAATACATTTTTTCCCTTGCCTTCAAAACCCTATTGGATGTCTTGGGTCATTGCGTATATTATTCACTCAATATTGTGAGTGTCCACTGGGAAGCACAGAGGAACAGAAGCACACAGGAATGTGTGGAGGTTGAGTGTACAGGTGTTTATGTGGTGAGATTTATAGCTTAATTGCTCTTAAAAAAGCAAGACACAGAACAAACCTATGCCTACTGATATAAAAGGAAATACAGTTGTATTTTGGCTCTTCTAAGTCCATGCAATATTCTTGAACATTTTTCTATTGTGTATGTGTAAAGGAAGATTCATTTATACCCAATAAGGAACCAAAATCATGGAACTATAGAATACTCATGCTAGAAAGGGTCTTAAATATTTTCTAACCTTCACATTGCATGCATGAAGAAATTCAGATAGGCCCACAGAGTGGAAGGAACTTGCCTAACTAGTTCATGTCAGAGCCGACATGAGCCCATTGACCTAACTCCCCACTACTGGCCCCACCACATCACAAATAAGGACCCAGTTTATGTTTTTGGAAGCTATTTAGAAGATGCCAACTTGCTATGTTAGGCTTCCCTCCTAGATGGCTTAATATGGAATTTCCCTACTTGATTTCATTTTGCTAATGTTCCAAGAACATAGTAGCAACTTTGAAAATTTCTAATGTCCCCCAGGTTGGAGAGTACCTCATACATATTTCTGATTGTATAAAGAAGTGACTCTTAAATAAATGTGTTTTTATCTTTATGTATATATTGATTTCTTTATTATTTGTTTGCAGGGTATTCCTGAAAATGAAAGAAGAACTACCAAAGCCGAGAGTGCCTGGCTTTTCCGGATATGGTACAACTTTGATCATAAGTATCCTTAATTGAGAAAAACAAATGGTATTATGGACATGGACAATTGCAATTTAATGGAACAACTGTTTTGACCATTTCAATCCTGAAGCAGAACATAAAATCTTTGGTCTTCCCTTTCTCTTCAGAGTAGTGAGGAGGTTTTTTGTTTGTTTTTTTAAATATATTTTATTGATTTTTCACAGAGAGGAAGAGAGAGGGATGGGGAGTTAGAAACAACGACGAGAGAGAATCATCGATCAGCTGCCTCTTGCACACCCCCCACTGGGTATGTGCCTGCAACCAAGGTACATGCCCTTGCCCGGAATTAAACCTGGGACCTTTCAGTCCACAGGCCGACGCTCTATCCACTGAGCCAAACCGGTCCCGGCTTTTTTTTTTTTTTTTTTTTAATATATTTTATTGATTTTTCACAGAGAGGAAGAGAGAGGGATAGAGAGTTAGAAACAACGATGAGAGAGAAGTGAGAAGGTTTTTAAAGGAAACCAACCCAAATGGATTCCTCTGAAAACCCATGAAACCAGTAGTTACTGTTAATTGCAGAAGCTGGTTGTGTGAAGGAACGAAGGAGCCCTTATGTTAGATTTTCTTTGATATATAGGTTTATTTATTGAGCAAACTTTAAATTTTATTGTTCTTTAGCTAATTTTAGTGAACCCTGAAAAAGGTATTTTTGGTTCTTGTCAGTGTACTTACTAGAATAAAAAAGGAAAGGCTTCCTTAGGAAAAAGCATGAGATTAAGATTAAGAACACAGATTTTAATGTTAGATACCCTAATAATGAGTGATATACCTTTTTTTCTCTGACCTTTCCAAAGACTGGCAGATTATCTTCTCTATTCAAAATGCCAATGTTTCATTGTTTATCAAGTTTTTTCTTGTCCTATTGTAATAGTGTTCTTCATAGCTATACTTTGAATCAGGTTATAGTCTATAGCCTGTCTTTAAAATATTTTATCACCCACTATTTATTACAATTAATTTCTTATTTGAAAATTGAACTATAAAAAGGGACCATGGAGTTAGACTTACCAGTAAATAAATCAAAACCTGGTTTATGTTCCATTGAAGCAAATTTGGGACAACTATATAAAAAGATTTTCCTTGCTTTTGACTTTCTGAGCAAAATCATTTATATTTAAGAAAATTGCATTGGATACTTATCATTATAATTTGCTACTTACTATATTCTGTCGGCTAGATTTTTATGTGCACTTTTCACAGGGTATTCCTGAAATAAATTACTGTAAGGAAACAAGAATGCATGCATATCTATGGTATTAAGACTCTCATTAGGGAGAGAGATCATGGTTCTTTAAAATTGTTTAATGATTATGTCATTACTTTTGGCTCCATTATAAGCATTTTGGATATAAGCCACTTCTACATCTCTTGAGGCCTTTTCACCCCTCTCATTCAACAAAAAATTGTTTAGTCTTTCCTACATAAATTGTCCTGTACATTTTCTGCATAATATACAAATCAATTAAATGATCCTAATATAGAGAAAGAGTAGAAAAATAGCTTTTTTTCTGAATAGTTTTATAAAGCTAAACACCAAGACTTGTTTGACTCAATATTACCCTATTAAGTATTACTAGACTAAGACCTGGTAATTTTAAAATCCAGTGCCCTGGTGGAATTAATGATTCATCACTCTAGATTTAAGTTCCTTTGTATAGCCAGATTATTTGTTATAATTGAGATACAACTTAAATATAGCAATATACATAAATCTTAAGTGTACAGCTTAATGAATTTTGACTTGTGTATATACTTGTGTGCTTGCCACCCTAGAAAGTGTGTAGAACATTTTCAGCACCCCAGAAGGTACCCTGTGTTCCCTTGTAGTCAATAATGACTTCCCTGTCCACCCCCAAAAGGGCAATCACAATTCTGATTTCTAGCAACATGGGTTAGTTTTATCTGCTTTTGTTTATCATATAGATGGAATCATGTGTTATTTTATGTCTTGCTTCTTTCACTCAACGTTGTATAGTTTATCCATATTGTTGTCTGTACTAGTGACACTTTTCATTGCTGTGTAGTGTTCCATAGTATGAATATACTATGGACATACTATGGATTGTTGTTGTTGTTTATTTTTTGTTTGTTTTGTTTTTTATATTGTTTTTTTAACCATCTATTATGGATAAACATTTGGTTTGTTTCCAACTTTGGGCTATTACAAATGAGGCTAAACATTCGTGCATATATATTTTTGTAAACATAGGCACTCATTTCTCTTGAGTTAGATACCTAAGAGTAGAATTTAGTGCAAGTGTAAATTTAGCTTTAATAGCTAGTGCCAACCAGTTTTCCAGAGTGCTTGTAGCAGATTTATATTCCCACCAGCAAGTTAAGGGGTTCCAGTTGTCTCACATCTCCACCGAAACATATTGGTTAGCCTTTTCATTTTTAGCCATATCTATGGGTTTGTAGTGATGTCGATTGTGGGTTAGCTTACATTTCTCCGTTAACCACTGAGCATCCTTTCATATTGGCCATTTTAATATCCTCTTTGTTGAAGGATGTTTGTTCAGTCCTATTGCCCATTATGTGAGTTTTCTTGTCTACCTAATTTGAAGTTCTATATTCCTGAATTGTTTTTTTTTTGTTGGTTGCATGTATTGTGACTATCTTCTTCCAATATGTAACTCATCTTTTCATGTTCTTAATCCTGTCTTTTGAGGAACATAAGTTCTTCATTTTAATGAGGTTTATTTTTATCAATCTTTTATGATTAGTGATTTTTATATCTTAAGAAATCTTTTATATCCCAAGGTCATGAAGATATTTTCTTTTAAAAATATGATTGTCTTAGCTATTGAGTTGTGTCCAGTGTGAGGTATGGGTCAAGAGCTACTGTTTTCTATATGGGTATTCAATTGACCCAGCACCATTTATTGAAAATACCATCCTTAACCCACTGAATTACAGTGGAAACTTTTGTAAATCACTGGGCCATATTTGTGGGGGTCTGTTTCTGGACTCTCTTTTCTATTTGTCTATTTTTACATTAATACCAAACTCTCTTAATTATTGGAATCACACAAATCTGGGTTTGAATATTGGTGCTTAATTTACTTAATTGTGTGACTTTAGGCAGATCATGGGCCTCTCTGAGCTTAGTTTTCATATCTGTGATATAGAGATAGTAATAAAAGCTCCCTTTGCTATCTCACTGACATAATGTGGTGATGAAATGAGACAACATGTGAAAGCCCATAGATGTCCTCTCAAATACTTGGTATATTGTGATGGTGGCTGTTATCAAATGAGTCGTTCTTTTAAATTTGTGAAGAAATGAACACACCCCTTCCTTAACCAGCACAGCTATCTGAAGCCTCTGCTCACGCATAGTGGGCCTCCTCTCACAACAACGCTCCCTGCCTGCTGTGGACCCATTGCCAGATGCCTAACCAGCCCCCAGGCTTATGAAGTAAGTGGGTTTTATCTAAAACCTAAGCTCTTTATTAAGTTAAATTTATCTGCTCTGTGGTTGGGTTACTAGTTTTGTTTTTTGTTTTGTTTCGTTTTGTTTTGTTTTACTTGAAGGTATAAAATCCATGAGAGGGAATATAAGCATATATATTTTGCTCAGCCAGAAAATATACTGAAATCTATAAATATAATTTATAGCCTTTGAAGCAGCATTTGAAAACAGGTCTAAAATAGTACCTAATTTAACTGTTGGTGATTTTAATAAATAATTCTATTCCATGCTGGTTTTCATTTATTTGCAGTATGAGGCCTAAACTCAGTACCAAATGTTTGTCTTGATTTATAAATTTGGGTTGTCACAGTCATATTGAGAGGATTAATAAAACAACCTTTGATGCCCCTAAAGTGCAACAGATGATCTTTTATTTCACACTTTCCATCTTTTGAATCTTAGGAAAGCTTTTTCTACCTCTGTTCCACATAGTTGGGAGGAGTGAGCATAACTATTATAGATATAATCTAGATACCATATTTTTTACTGATTTCAGAGAGAGGAAGGAAAAGGGAGAGAGAGGTAGAAATACCAGTGATGAGAGAGAATCATCAATTGGCTGCCTCTTGCACACACACACCCTCCCCCAATGGGGATCAAGCCACAACCCAGGCATGTGCCTTAATCAGGAATTGAACTGATGAGCTCTTCATGCATGGGTTGATGCTCAACCACTGAGCGATGCCTGTTAGGCAGATGCCATATTTTTTTCTTAGCTACCAACATATGATTGATGATTTGGCAAGTAGTACAACAAAGAAAGAAAATGACAAATGCTAACCAGCTTTTATTTTAAAGTATGAACATTTTCTTTTTCAGTTCTTTCCAAAACAAAAATTGCTTCTAACCTAACCATTCAAAATAATCTGTGGCATCAAATAAAGTGCCCATGTTAAGAAAACTCACCAATTTTGACTATTCTGATGCAGCATCTTGAGTAAAGAGGGAAGACTGGGAACTGGGGGGAGTGCATGTGGAGCATTGCAGACATGCACTCCCCCCAGTTCCTTATGACATTCTATGTAGTGTGTTAGTTCAGACCCCACAGAGAATAGATGGGAAAGAGTAGACTCACTCAGTGGGGGTGGCACCTGGATCAGGGTGAGTGCCTTACAGCTTTGTGTTACATTGAGTCATGAGTTACATTTCTTTTTTTTCTTTTTTTTAAATATATTTTATTGATTTTTCACAGAGAGGAAGAGAGAGGGATAGAGAGTTAGAAACATCGATGAGAGAGAATCATCAATCAGCTGCCTCTTGCACACCCCCTACTGGGGATCTGCCCGCAACCAAGATACATGCCCTTGCCCGGAATCGAACCCGGGACCTTTCAGTCCGCAGGCCGACACTCTATCCACTGAGCCAAACCGGTCCCGGCATGAGTTACATTTCTGACAGATTGTGCTGGTGGGTTGGCAGAACACCACATGTTGTCTCTTCTCTCCCTCCGACATTGCCCAAAGTCCTCTCTCTCAAACGCAACCATTCCCTCTGTGCCCTGTGGTTCTGTGCAAAGGGGTCAGACAGCTCTGTTGGTGAATCAGTGAGGTGAGACTCTTGGATTTCAGAGACCCATTCAGCCATCTCCAAAAGCTAAAAGAGTTTCAGAAGGACTGTGTATCCTGTGGAATAAAGCAAAATAGAACATTGTGGTATTAGTCTCCTAGTGCTGCTGTAACAAGTAGTACAACTGAACGGTTTATTGTCTCTCAGTTCAGGTAGGCTTGGTTTTCTTTATGTGGTATTCTGTGTGTGTGTCCAAGTTTCCTCGTTTTATAAGAATATTCAAACAGTATGGAATGTACAAAGTGAGAAATAAAAGTTGCCCTCCTCCCACCTATATCCCTTAGAGCAAGCATGGCAAACTCAAAGGCTAACATGTGCCAAATAAACAAGGTTTAAGTTTATGTGGACCACAAAAAAAACAAAAGCTTCAGTTTTCTTTTTTTTTTTTTTAAATATATTTTATTGATTTTTTACAGAGAGGAAGGGAGAGAGATAGAGAGCTAGAAATGTCGATGAGAGAGAATCATCGACCAGCTGCCTCTTGCACACCCGCTACTGGGGATGTGCCCGCAACCAACGTACATGCCCCTGACCGGAATCGAACCTGGGACCTTTCAGTCCACAGACCAACGCTCTACCGCTGAACCAAACCGGTTTTGGCCAAAAGCTTCAATTTTCATAGAAACGTAGGTTTATTTTAATAGAGACATGCTGAATACAAAGGACTGAATTAAATGAGTAATCATTAACCTAAAATAATAGAACATTTTAATAAAAATTAATATTTTTTGAACATTAATTAACTTACTAGACACTGAATAACTGCACAAATTAATAAGTATAGCCGAAACTGGTTTGGCTCAGTGGATAGAGCTTTGGCCTTGTATGGCTATACCAAGATTAATTTAATCAGTTTTCTATGGATAGATCTTTAAGTTACTTACTTTTTTTTTGTTATTACAAGCAATGTTTATGGTAAGTATCCTTGTGAATATAAATTTATCCAAATATATAATAGTATATAGAATAGATTTTAAAGGTTAGATTTCTGGGTCCAAAGGCATATGGTGATAGATACATCCCCAAACTTCTAACTTAGTAAAGACATTAGAATGAGCTAAAGATCTCCTGCTGAAATTTGAAGATGCCACAGACCATTGCTATGAGCATTGCTGAATTGATAGGCACTAGTTAAACTTAGTGTTTTCACTAGTTTAGTCAGAAAGGAATTATAGCTGGTTGGTTGTTATGGGCTTGGTCTTTATCTTCGAGTATTTAGGCAAATTTCTAACAAAGCAAAGCAAATTTATTTTGTCTAGTAGTCTCTTCAGTCTCTTTGACTATCTTACACAATTTTTTTGTTGTTGTTGTTAATTCTTACCAGAGGATATTTTTCCTTGATTTTTAGAGAGAGTGGAAGGGAGAGGGAGAGAGAAACATCGATGTGAGAGAGACACATCATTGGTTGCCTCCTGCACACTCCCTGACCAGGGCCAGGTAACCTGCACCTGAGATACGTGCCCTTGACTAGAATTGAACCCGGGACCCTTCAGTTCGCAGGCCAGTGCTCTATCCACTGAGCCAAACCAGATAGGGCCTCTTACACAAATTTAAAATTTTCTAACACACATAGTATTGGAGAGCTGGATGTAAGATGTATTTATCAGCTCTACTTTCCCTAAGGAGTATTAGACACATAGGTTGTTGTTGTTTTCTTTAATCACTATGAGTGGTTAGAATGACTCCTACACTTTACATTAAAAATTACTTATTTTTAAAAGTAATTAATGTATATTCATTATAATAAAATGTGTGATAGTACAGAAACATAAAATAAAAATTACTAGCAACAGTAGCATGCAGAAATAACTGTCATCATTTTTTTGAATACCCTTCTAGGCTTTTCTATGCACACATACATTATTTTTATTTTTTATTTTTTTACCAGAATGGCACTATATATTCTTGACTTTTTTCCCTTTTATGGAGCTTTATTTAATTATACTCTTTGGGTCACAAAATTTACATTAGCACCAAAGTTTATCAAGCTGAGAGGCAAGTATATGGTGAAGATTCAACATATTGAAGGATATTATATTTCTAGGCATTGTTAATACTTCACTTATATAAGTCCATTCAATAATCAATTGAAATTAGTTTAGTGAATTCTCTCTGTATGCCCCAAACTGTTAGGTTGTTGGACTAGAGCATAGAAGGGACTTAGTCTAGTGGGGGGAGAGTGCAGAATAGACCAGTGTCATTGCAGTTACAAGGATAAGTGACACTCTAGGGAGAGGGCTAAGTACAGGATACTAGGGGAGAACATTAGGAGGTCCACCTCAGCAAGCCTTGGAAATTTAAGAATAACTTCTGGGAGAAAGTGACTCTTAGCTGAGACCTCATTGATAACTAAGCTCTCATCACGTGAAAGAGGGCAGAAGGGACAGGAAGTGAGAAACCTTGAGAGATTTAAGCAGCTGTCAGCAGCTTAGTTTAGCCAGAACACAATGGGGCTATTGAGGTTGGGGAAGTTGACTGTAGTGGGAGATGAAGCTGATGCCCCAAGTCAACAATGTCTTTTAGGACAAGGAAATGACTTTAGACTTTATCCCAAGGGAAGCTGCTACCCCCAAAGGGTTTAAGTAGGGAGTCCTTGAAAATTCTGCTATTGGAAATGTTTCTTGAATTTCATAACAATTCTTAAAACTTATTTTATTTGTTTTTAGAACCAAGAGCAATTGAAAGATGATGATTCTGATCTTATTCTCAATGATGGTGATATTAGTTTGACGTATGGGGATTCTACTGTGAGCACTGAATCAGCAGCATCTAGTGGCCCAAGGAGATTTATGGGCAACAGTTCTGAAGATGCCTTGGATCGCGAGCTTGCATTTGGGGACCATGAACTGGTCATTCGGGGAACACGCCTGGTTCTTCCTATGGATGATTCCGAACCCCCATTAAATTTGTTAGATAATACGAGACACAGTCCAGCCTAAACTTACTAATACTCACATAGTGATTTGTAAAATTTGCACATGTGATTGTGAAGAGATTTGTACTACCTAAAAAGTCGCAGTGCATGTCTGAATGTTTAAGCTATATAAATGCTATTTATATGGCATCGAAAGAATATAAATATGTACGAGGCAGATTGTGAACAAACTCTTTTATGTTTTATTGGCTGCACTATGTAGACTGGATCTGTTATAGAAAATTTTAAGTGATGTTGTGTGTTCCGTTAACTTTATGTCTCAGTTAAAATATAAAAAGTGACAGAGTTACTCTTTCTTATATTAACCTGACACTTAACAAGAGTTCCATGTTTTTGTGATGTGAATTAATTTGGTTTTGTGGGCGGGGAGGGGAAGAAGAAAGAGGGAATGTTATTTCAGCAGAATCCCAGGGAGGAGAGGTTCCTTTGTTGGGAAACTTGTGTTGATTGCTGCTGCCTTTGTCCTAACCTTTTCTTTCCTTTTTTCTCTGGTGGCCTATTGTGGCACAAGAGGCTGATGGCATTCTAATCTTGCCCCATTCATGTTGGGGAGTGAAGTGTGGGGCCCTTTTCCCCCCTTGCTATGAAAGAACAGATTCCTTGACCACAGTACACTACTGTTGGGAAAAGAAGGCTACACATGACTTCCAAGACTTTGTTTCTTTTCTTTCAGACCAAGATCGTAGAAGACGCATCCAGCCAGCTTAGCCAAAGTACAGGCAAATATAGTTCAGGACACTTGATTTCAATTTGAAGGAGCTGGGCAGGCTACAAGGGGGCAGAGAGCAGGAGAGGAGTAAAGAGAATGGTGGTGTGCAGGTCTCTCTTTCCAAATATGTAAATATTCTATACCAGATAAGTTTAAGTAAGGAACTCAATTGCTGCTTACTTTCTGATTTCTGTACTTGATCTGTATAACAAGCTTTGTGGTCAGAAGTTTTTATATCTACTTAAACCGCTGCTCTTAGCAGACAAACAGGAACAAAATGTAAAAATTTTGAACGTAACCATGTCTGTCATTTGTTAGTCTGTAGTTGATGTTAAAAGTTAATTTATGAATCCAGGATCTTTGCACACTACACCAAAGTCAGTCATAGGAGAAATTCAGTGCTCTGGAGAGCTTTTTGTAAGGATGGTGATTCCTCTGTGTGTACTGGTGTAGTTGTCGTTATTTTCATGTTACTATTTAATATGAAATACCTAAGCTGCCATGTGTTTTTGTTTTTTTACAATCTTCAAGGAAGAATACATAACAATTTCCCATTTCATATTCAGAGAATGAAAGTGGATACTATTTTGTGATGCTGAAAATATGTAAAGGTTCACCAAATGCTGAGAAGGGGGATACTTTCTTATGTTGATTCTAACCTGTTAATGTTTCAGAGGGAAAAGAGAAATTTTGTCGGTTTCCCCCTCAGGTCTGAGTAGCATTGCCTTAAATTTTATCCAGTTCAAAAATTGATTTATTTACTTGATGTTCAAATTTTCCAACAAAAAATATCTCTCCAAAAATATATTCTCCCAAAGGTATCTGTGCTGTTGTAAATACTCCTTGAGATTTTAAGGGAATTCTACTGTTGTACACTTGAGTGGCAGCTCTACTGTTGGCAGAGCCATTTGTTATCTGTGATAGTCACTTTCCTGCTATGCAGGAACCCTGTGAAGTGTGCGTTTTATATGATGTGTGCCTCTTCATGCAATCAATACTTTCTTGTTAATGTATGCTTGAGGGGCTTTAAACTTCAGTGTCATTTACCCATGAAGTTATTCACGTTGTAAAAGGATGTACAAGAAATTAACAGCTACCTTTTTTTATTCTTTCAGGTTACTAAGCTCACTTTATGAAAATGATTAGAAATACTTAGCATGACAAATTTGCTAACTTGTCTGTTTCGGCATGCATAAGACTTCCTTAAAGAAACATAATGCTTGAGTCAACTAAATCAGCCTTTGTACATTATCAAAGGGGAACCAAGTCTGCTGTGCTCACATCAGCATCTGGAAGATTCTCCTCTCTTCTAACCTATGTGCACATCTCCAAGCAAAGAAGGAAAAAAACAACAACTCTATGCTCATACATCTGGTGGGTTTAGACACCTGAATGAACCTAGATGAAGTACAGTCTGAGTTGCCATCACGCACAAGTAGAGCTGCTCTCGGACTTTTCTGTTCTTTGTGAACCCTACACATTTAAATGACTTGAACCTTCTCTTTTAAAGTTGTTTTTTGAGGTTCCTTGGCATTTTATCCTAATTGTCCGTGTTTGGCAATGTGATGTTATAGTAATAGACTTTTAATCTTTATGTATTTTTTTGTTTTTCCTTTGGAGTACTTGGACAAATGTTATAGTGGTTTCTTTTAGGAAAATCTGTCATTTAAAAAAATTATAGCCTTGAAAATAACTACTCACCGTATTTACGTCACAATTTATTCTAGTGCTGACTCATTTATTTTGTACCTGTATACCTACTGGGAAAGGAGGAAGAAAGATTTTTTAAAAAGAAACAAACAGAAACCTAACAGAATATAACTTATGGGGTGGCAAATTTGTGGTGCTTATGTGTAAGGCTGGATGTATTTGTTTATGAGGACAATTGGACCATTTATGAAATATGACTCAAAGCAGTCGAATCCTATTGCACTGGTTGGTAGCCTGTTTACTCAGTAATGGATAATGTAATAAAAATATTAGTTCCATTTTATGGGGAGAGTAAATTCTGTAGAAAGGCAGTTCCAAGTTTGGCTGAAAGCATGATCACACAAATAGTCCTTTTTCCAAGATAGAGCTAGGACTTTCTTTTCATACACAAGAAGCTAGGTTAAAGTTTGTTGGCAGCAATTTTGTCTAACCTAATAATGGCACCAGCCACCCTATTTCTGTGTTGTTGCCATCCATTCCAGCTTCCTTTCTCATAGTCCCGTGAGAGACACAGCTGGTGCACACCACAGACTCTTTTCTTGACTAATCCCCTGTTTTCTAATTCACAAATCAAGCCCTGCATTAGATTTGAGCTATACACTTGCTAACATGACTCAATACATGAGCATAAGGAGGTGAAAGAATAGATGTTTTGACTTAATCAGACAGTCCTTCATAGGAACTACCCCACACATAATGCAATATGAGGTATAAGGCTTGAAATAAATTAGAAATAACAATAGTTTGCCTTTTTTGAGCCCCTCTTAGATAAAACAATGTGTATATCAGCTATTTTTAAATCTATATTAATCTTAATCATTCTGTGGGGGAACATTCTATTCTCATTTCAAAGATTAGGAAACAGGTTCAAAAAAGTTATGATACTGCTATTAAGTGTAAAAGCCAGGACTCAAATCCAGTCTTGACTCCAACATTTAAACTATTAACTGCTACTCTACTGGCTTCATTGTCAGAATCCGGGCTAATCCTTCTTGACTATACCTAGAAGGATGATGAAGGGAACAGCAGACTTCTATCCTGCTGCTTACCACCTGTATGTCATCAGGGTGAGGCATGAATTCCCAGTTCTGTTCCTCCACTTGCTGCACTATTGACTGCAAATATGAGTTCCTCTGGTTGGGAAGTTTCTCATATTACTAAAACTAGAGACCTGGTGTATGAAATTCATGCATGGGGGAGGGGGAACCCTCAGCCTTGCCTGCACCCTCTCACAATCCAGGATCCCTTGGGGGATGTCCAACTGCTGGTTTAGGCCTGATCCCACAGTCAGACATCCCTCTCACAATCCAGGACCACTAGCTCCTAACTGCTGGCCTGTTTGCCTGCCTCACCACCCCTAACCACTCTGCATGCCTGCCTCATCACCTCTAACCACTTTCCTGCCTGCCTCATTGTCCCTAACCATTCGACTGCCTGCCTTCTTGATTGCCCCTAACTGCTTGCCTGCCTACCTGATAACCACTAACGACCTCTGCCTTGGCTCCTGCTGCTATAGCTTCATCTGGAAGAATGTTGGGAATGACGTCCAGAAGGTTGTTTGCCTGTCCAGTCTAATTAGCATATTATGCTTTTATTAGTATAGGTGCCTGTGTCTCTGAGCTTGTGGGCTAGGAAATCTGGCTAACATCATGCCTTGACACTCCAACTTTCAATGTTTTCGCAAAGGGGCCAATGTCTTAGGGCAGAGCTTATGGTTCTGAACAATGACTCTGTGACCACATAGTTTGGTATAATAGAAAAACTCCAGGCTTTGGAGCTACACAGACCTGAGTTCAAATTCAGACTTTGCTACTTGCTTATTGTGTAACATTGGCCAGTTGCCCTTTCTACTTTCTTAGCTGTAAAGTTCATTTATTTAAGAAATAGTTGAGTGCTTACTTTGTGCCACACACAGTGGATACAACAGCAAATAACAGTAGTCTCTGCTCTCACAGCATATTCTACAGGAAATGCCAACAGCTATCTCCAGTTAGGAATCATTCATGCAAGAAAGACTGATTGCCTTCTCGTAGGGGAATATCTATCTTAAATAATCAGCAAGTACATCAAATACAATAATCATAAGGCTATGATGGAAAACCACAGGAAGCCGTGATTAGGGACTGAGGTCTGGTGGTAGGAGAAAAGGGAGGATTTTTTTGACCAAGTGATATTTTAGCTTAACCCTCAAGAGTAAGTAAAGGGTCCACCAGATGAAGGGGTGAGGATGAGGAACATGCTAGGCAGAGTGAACAGTGACAGCCCTCTACCTACACTTGATCTTCCATCCAACATTCAATCAAATAGTTATTGAGTGACTAACATACCATATACTGTGTTATATCCATATAGTGAGGAATAAATACATGTAGGCTCCACTCATACCACTTGCATATTAGTGTGGAAAATAAGATATAGTAACCAAGAATCACCTGGAACACAAACCTGCCCCTCAACTTTCTCTCCTTCAGCTCTCTCCCACTGCACCTCTCAGGCAACTCCACACCCTCCTCTGGAAAGCACCTTTCAGAACTTTGGAAAGAGGAGCTGAGTCTTTCCACCCGCCAGGCTTACAACCTCAATCT